GTGGCTTGATGCATGTCATGTCGGAGGGAGCTTCTCAAAGTCAGGGGGCGTGGTTGATAGTGCACACCTCATCTCTGCTGTCATATCCAACCTGGATCGATATTTGGTTTTCATGCAGAGGAAAGCACTGAATCCAGCTTCACACAGATATGAGCTGGCGAAGGGTACCATGAGTTTTATGGTGCTTTCAAGACAACTGGTAACTCTGAAAAATATAAGGTAAAATCATGACGTCAGTGATCTTCAGGTCGGAGCTCTAGAAAGAGGCCAGAGTTCCCGAGTTGGAATTCCGAGTTGGATGACCATTCATAACGATATTTGCCAAGATAATACATCCACCTGACACGTGTGGCATATGAAGAAGCTGATTAAACAGCATGATCATTACACAGGTGCACCTTGTTCTGAGAACAATAAAAAGCCACTGTAAAATGTGCAGTTTTGTCACACAACACAATGCCACAGATGTCTCAAGTTTTGAGGGAGCGTGCAATTGGCATGCTGACTGCAGGAATGTCCACCAGAGCTGTTGCTGGAGAATTTAATGTTACTTTCTCTACCATAAGCCGTCATTTTAGAGAAATTGACAGTACATCCAACCGGCCTCACAACTGCAGACCACATGCAACCACGCCAGCCCATGACCTTCACATCCGGCTTCTTCACTTGAGGGATCGTCTGAGACCAGCCACCCGGACAGCTGATGAAACTGTGGGTTTGCACAACCGAAGAATTTCTGCACAAACTGTCAGAAACCGACTCAGAGAAGCTAATCTGCGGGCTCGTCGTCCTTACCAGGGTCTTGACCTGACTGCAGTTCGGCGTCGTAACCGACTTCAGTGGGCAAATGCTCACCTTCGATGGCCACTGGTACGTTGAAGGAGAAGTGTGCTTTTCACGGATGAATCCTGGTTTCAACTGTACCGGTCAGATGGCAGACAGCATGTATGGCGTCGTGTGGGCGAGTGGTTTGCTGATGTCAACGTTGTGACCAGAGTGCCACATTATGGCAGTGGGATTACGGTATGGGCAGGCATAAGCTACGGACAACGAACACAATTGCATTTTATCGATGACAATTTCAATGCACAGAGATACCGTGATGAGATCCTGAGGCCCATTATCGTGCCATTCAGCCGCCGCCATCACCTCATGTTTCAGCATGACAATGCACGGCCCCATATCGCCATGATCTGTACACAATTCCTGGAAGCTGAAAATGTCCCATTTCTTTCATGGCCTGCATACTCACCAGACATGTCATCCATTGAGCATGTTTGGGATGCTCTGGATCGACGTGTACGACGGCATGATCCAGTTCCCGCCAATATCCAGCAACATCGCACAGCCATTGAAGAGGAGTGGGACAACTTTCCGCGGGCCACAATCAACAGCCTGATCAACTCTATGCGAAGGAGATGTGTCTCGCTGCATGAGGCAAATGGTGGTCACACCAGATACTGACTGGTTTTCTGATCCATGCCCCTACGTTTAAAAAAAAAGGTATCTGTGACCAACAGATGCATATCAGTATCAGTCATGTGAAATCCTTAGATTAGGGCCTAATGAATTTATGGATCACCACCTCAAGCTGAACCTCGGCAAGACGGAGCTGCTCTTCCTCCCGGGGAAGGACTGCCCAATCCATGATCTCGCCATCACGGTTGACAACTCCGTTGTGTCCTCCTCCCAGAGTGCAAAGAGCCTTGGCGTGACCCTGGCCAACACCCTGTCGTTCTCCGCTAACATCAAGGCGGTGACCCGATCCTGTAGGTTCATGCTCTACAACATTCTGAGAGTACGACCCTGCCTTACACAGGAAGTGGCACAGGTCCTAATCCAGGCACTTGTCATCTCCCGTCTGGATTACTGCAACTCGCTGTTGGCTGGGCTCCCTGCCTGTGCCATTAAACCCCTACAACTCATCCAGAATGCCGCAGCCCGTCTGGTGTTCAACCTTCCCAAGTTCTCTCACGTCACCCCGCTCCTCCGCACACTCCACTGGCTTCCAGTTGAAGCTCGCATCTGCTACAAGACCATGGTGCTTGCCTACGGAGCTGTGAGGGGAACGGCACCTCCGTACCTTCAGGCTCTGATCAGTCCCTACACCCAAACGAGGGCATTGCGTTCATCCACCTCTGGCCTGCTGGCCCCCCTACCTCTGCGGAAGCACAGTTCCCGCTCAGCCCAGTCAAAACTGTTTGCTGCTCTGACACCCCAATGGTGGAACAAGCTCCCTCACGACGCCAGTACGGCGGAGTCACTCACCACCTTCCGGAGACACTTGACACCCCACCTCTTTAAGGAATACCTGGGATAGGATAAAGTAATCATTCTACCCCCCCTTACCCCACCCCCCAAAAATATGGAGCCCCATCTGTGCAAAAGCCCACGATTCGATCCCATGGAATCTGTTTTTCATCAATATAGCCACGCAGCACAATGTACATCCCCTGTGCCCTTTCATGCTTGGGAATCGTGAGACAGAACAATATGTCCTTGTGAATAGCATCCCTGACATGTATAACGAACAAAAGTCAATACATGGGCATCTAAGCCCTCACAGATAATGTCCATTTGGAGAGCATAAGCTAGGGAGTTTGAGTCGTTCAGTCAGTTTCCTCTTGATTGCTAGCAATGGCATAAATTCTTATTTTAACAGTATTATTATCTGCCCACACATTGTTTTCACTATATCAATTGTGGCCAGTAATATCAAAGTCTCTGCAATAGTGTGTGGTTTCATAGCGTAGCGGGCCTAGCCATTCACCGTGGGAATGATACAAGTGCAACGGTCAAGTGCAGACTTTTCTCATGATCTAAGGGCGCTCTCTGGTTGAATTTTATATTTGAATGATTTTCATTTAGATTTTTAAGGTTAACCACATTACAATGACTTTAAAATACAAAGACCAAGCTATGAGGTCGAAGGAATTGTCCGTAGAGCTCCAAGACAGGTCTGTCTCGAGGTACAGATCTGAGGAAGGGTACCAAAACATTTCTGCAGCATTGAAGGTCCCCAAGAACACAGTTGCCTCCATCATTCTTAAATGGAAGAAGTTTGGAACCACCAAGACTCTTCCTAGAGCTGGCCGCCCGGCCAAACTGAGCAATCGGGGGAGAAGGGCCTTGGTCAGGAAGGTGACCAAGAACTCGACGGTCACTATGACAGAGCTCCAGAGTTTCTCTGTGGAGATGAAGGAACCTTCCAGAAGGACAACCATCTCTGCAGCACTCCACCAATCAGGCCTTTATGGTAGAGTGGCCAGACGGAAGCCACTCGTCAGTAAAAGGCACATGACAGCTCGCTTGGAGTTTGCCAAAAGGCACCTAAAGACTCTCAGACCATGAGAAACAAGATTCTCTGGTCTGATGAAACCAAGATTGAACTCTTTGGCCTGAGTGCCAAGCGTCACGTCTGGAGGAAACCTGGCACCATCCCTACGGTGAAGCATGGTGGTGGCAGCATCATGCTGTGGGGATGTTTTTCAGTAGCAGGGACTGGGAGACTAGTCAGGATCGAGGGAAAGATGAACGGAGCAAAGTACAGAGAGATGCTTGATGAAAACCTGCTCCAGAGCGCTCAGGACCTCAGACTGGGGCAAAGGTTCACCTTCCAACAGAACAACGACCCTAAGCACACAGCTAAGACAACGCAGGAGTGGCTTCGGGACAAGTCTCTGAATATCCTTGAGTAGTCCAGCCAGAGCCAGGACTTAAACCCAATCAAACATTTCTGGAGACCTGAAAATAGCTGTGCAGCGACACTCCCCATCCAACCTGACAGAGCTTGAGAGGATCTGCAGAGAAGAATGGGAGAAACTCCCCAAATACAGGTGTGCCAAGCTTGTAGCGTCATACCCGAGAAGACTCGAGGCTGTAATCGCTGCCAAAGGTGCTTCAACAAAGTATTGAGTAAAGGGTCTGAATACTTATGTAAATGTAATATTTCAGTTTTGTATTTTTAATTATTTTGCAAAAAAAATCTAAAAAATATTTTTGCTTTGTCATTATGGGGTATTGTGTGTAGATTGATGAGAAAAAAAGCAATATAATCAATTTTAGAATAAGGCTGTAACGTAACAAAATGCGGAAAAAGTCAAGGGGTCTGAATACTTTCCGAATGCACTGCATATATATATTTTTTCAGGGTTCTGAAAATTCTCCCGCGACCACATTTTCATATCAGGGACGCGACTCACTGATATAGCCTACTCTTGTACACTCATCCTAGCTCCTGTGACCCAGTACACATGATCACTGTAGTCAGTGGGTGCATGCATCAGCCAATTGTATACAATATGGTATTTTTGTTATGGTAAAGTGAAATAGTTTGAGAGTCTGAAAATAGTGTGTCAGCTTGCACCCTTGCACTCACAGATAAGAATGCTCTGCAGTAGTCATCTCCCCATCAGTAACTCTTCAATGTTCTCTGTCTTCAAGGTGGTGGCTGTTGAGAGGTAGGAATATGCTGAGTAAAACTGAAGTCTGTGAATACCACAAGAGGTTGGTGGCACTTTAATTGGGGAGGACGGGCTTGTGGTAATGGCTGGAGCGGAATTGTATAAAATACAGCAAACACATGGTTTCTATATGTTTAATGCCATTCCATTTGCTGCGTTCCGGCCATTATTATGAGCCGCCTTCCCCTCAGCAGCCTCCTGTGGTGAATACATATAGAAGGCCTATACTAGTGAGGTAAGAACATGAATCATTTCCATTTTTACATGTGGAAACATGACACAGGAAATAAATAATGTTTTACCAAGTCTGCACAATTTCTCAAGTGCATGGAACTCCCGGTGGCTGTTATTGTTATATGGTTGGTCTGCGTACCTGGTAAATTCCTTTAGCCTTTTAAGTGAGACAGTTGCGCTATAGCTGTTTTCACTGAAAACAGCTCATATTTCCTTTGCCCTAATCCTTCATGACAATAATGGAATCTTAAATGATTACGGTCTGTTCAATTCACTGCTACCAATAAAAAAAGCACACGCTAGAAAGATGAATGAGAACATTTATTGAAAATTTCACAGAGCAGTCAAAAGAAAAGAATCAAAGTCAGCAACGCCACTAGGCACACCCCTTTATCCCTGGCAGAACAAGGAAAATGTAGTGACAACCAGGTTACAAATATCTTTAAAGGTCATTTTCAATAGTCCAGATCCTGTGCCAAGCTTGGATGTGTGTAAACACTTTTTTTTTGTTGATTGAATGGTCTCCCCATGGCTGTCACATAACATCTACCCTCCCCTACATTCTATTAACCCCTGCCCTTCTCTCTCCATACATTAACCATCTCTCTATGCCTTCTCTGCCTGGTACTGTTGGTGCAGCATTAGGACATCTGACTGGGACACTCTGGTCCAGCCCTCACTGTGGACGTGGTACAGGTTGACCTGTCCTCCACTGTAGGCATCGCGGTACGTGGCCTGGTAGATGGCCCTGCGACCCAGATCACAGGCCTCCTCCACGGTCAGGTCCTTCTGCTTCAGACCGCTGTCCACGATGCCATACGCGTACATGGAGCCAGAGCCCACCGCAAACAGGTCCCCACACACACGGTTCCCCTCAGAGTCCACGTAGTAGAGGCCTGGAAGGGGGAGAAAGTGAAATGTTAATATTAAATCAGTGGTTATGAAGAGCCATGACAAGTTAGAGACGGGACACACCATAGCAAACGTCAGCCGTGTGCAGTAGATCACCTGTTGGGTGTCGATGAATGGTGGAGATTGAACATGTAGAATCGTTGGGGTAATACAAATAAATGACGGCTGCTGTACTGTGGTCAGAGGCGATAGGACGGTGTTACCCTTTTTAGGATTTAGTCTATAGTGCACTTTAATATGCAGTGTGAAAACAAGGAGGTGCTTTCCCTCCCTAAGGGGAAGGATGTGCCATACATTTATAAATCATGGGAGATATGACATTTACGCTACTGCAATATGTATGTGGCTCACATGATGTGTGTAATTCAAAATTCAGATCCCTAGTTGTCCAATCATGCAGCCTAAGACAGCAAGATCTGATAGAGATTAGGGTCTAGACTCAATCCGGACCACGGAATATCCGTATTATAGTGCGATTGAAATGTAAAGGAGATGTTCCTGGTAAAAATTGCACATGTCGGCTCAATTGGAAATTACCTTTACATTTCAATCGCGCTATAACACGGATCTTCCACCCCATTTTGAATCTAGCCCTAGATCTATCAGGGCTGATCCTATGTGTGATAGAATGGGTTAGCCTATATACTGTCCCTATCCAGCTTAGACCATGATGTCGGTTGGCGCACGTGTAACGGAGATAAGATCGTACTGTAAGCACACTCCACAGCGTCAAATGTCTCCACTCGTGTTGCCGAATTGCTTACTTTTTGGTGGCGCAACTGGCTAGCAAGTTGTTGGTCCTGTGTGTTTGCGAAGCAGAGGTTCACTAGTTTGAGCCCAGTAAGGGGACATGGATAGTGAGGGATGCTATACTGCTATTAAGCTAGAACAGTGATGCCTGTTGCACACAGTTCATATCATATCCATACCTGGTCCAGTCTTGTCCCAGCCACACACCATGGTTCCCATGCTAAGGCCCATGCCTTTGTACTGGTACACCATGTTGGCCAGCAGTTTGGAGGCGGCTGCCACTGAGATGCGTTCCTTGTTGCGGAGCTCGTAGACGCGGCACTGGCGGGCCAGCAAGCGCTCCCAGAAACTGCAGTCAGCTGCACCTCCAGCCATGGTGCCCAGCAGGTAGGGGTTGATCTCTATCACCTTCTTCACTGTCTGGGAGGCGATGTAGGAGCCGGCTGTGGCTCTGGAGTCCACCGCCACAATGACACCATGCTGGAACTAGGGAGAATGGACATGGAGGCAGAAGACAATGGAAGACAATGTTTAGCCAGGGGGGAGGGAGGTTGTAGCTAGTCCTATATAACACTAGACACTTCATTATTTCAGATTTAGTTGTTAAAACAGTGTTTTCAGAATGACTATAAACCCTTTAATGTTAGCTAACTAAGTTTAACTAAGAAGTAGCCTATCTAGATAGCTAAAATGGCCATGAGGAGCCATTTTAGTCTGTTTATGTGCTCATTCAATATGTTTTTTTATGTTGTCTGTTTAGGGATGTTACTAGGGGCACTTTCACATGAGGTTATTGGTCACTTGATGTAGGTACATAGGTGACCTGGAAGTGTTAGCTATCACAGGTGATAATTACTATGGGATGCACATCACGTTGGTACAGTAAGTTAATGTTTTTGTATTGGAACGCTGTACTGTTAGTTAGCTATTTCATATTCAGTAATATATATGGCCCAACTAAAGATCTAACTTAGCTAACTAGGTCTAGAAGGAAATTGTATGTGGACGCGTGATGAACTTCTCTCAACCTGTGACAATGGCGTTTCATATAGGGCCCCGAGTAGCTCAGTTGGTAGAGCATGGCGCTTGCAACGCCAGGGTTGTGGGTTCATTTCCCACGGGGGGCCAGTATGAAAATGTATGCACTCACTAACTGTAAGTCGCTCTGGATAAGAGCGTCTTGCTAAATGACTAAAATGGAAATATGGAAAACGATTACTTTTTGTAACTAGCTAACGTTCGCTGTGGCTGTTTGCTAGCTAGTGTTACCGTTAATTACTTGATGATACAAGCTAGCTAGCTATCGAGCAAACTGTTGGCGAACGATTCTTAGCTAACTAACGTTAGCTATGTAGTTAGCTAGCTAGCATACTTACTTTGAAGGCTAAAGTGGTTGTGCCATGAAGGAATTCAATCTTTCTATCTGGTCCATCTCCGTCAGAGCACGCGGTTCTCACAGCGAAAGAGAGGCTATCTCCCCCAACAGACTCCAAACCCAACTCTGTTTCATACAAACCACTGGCGAAGCCACGACGCTGGCGACCATAGTTGGAAAAATCTACTGACTCACTCTGCAACACACTAGCAAGAGCCATCTTTGAACTAGGGATGATGATAGGGTAGGGCTTCTGTTGTTATAAAAAATGTTGCCGGTAAAGGAAATACGTCACTGATTTGAACATCGTTCAGGTTTTCTCAAGATGGCCAGAGGACGCAACATTGTAGCCAATAATTTTTTATAACTAATGCCGCGTTCAAAAGGACTGGGAACTTTCCGTCTTCCGTGCGTTCATAACAACTGGGAATTCGGAAAAATCAAGTTCCGACTGGGAAAAATTGTTTTGAACGGTCATCCCACTCGGAATTTCAATTCGGGAACTTGGGCCTCTTTCTAGACCCATTCTATAAGTTGGTAAACAAACTGAAAGGGTGCATACTGCCACTTGGAGTGTGTTGTTTGAACCGGTTTAAAGCCAAGGTTGGCGATTTACTGCCACCTACAGTTATGGAATGTTTGCTCACAAGTATAATTAATTGGCTGATCCCTCCTGATGACCTGCATGGAATTATGTGACCCTTCCTTAACGCATAGGAAATAGCACCCAGCTGACTACTTCAAAATTGTGAAAGTCCTCAATGGGCCTGCCCATGCTAAAACGGGCTTTTGGGCACTAGAGTCATCTACAGTGACTGTAGATGGCCCCACTGAGGTTTGGGGATGGTCCGGGCGACCGGGAGACTCATGGGCGGCGCACAATTGGCCCAGCGTCGTCCAGGGTAGGGGAGGGAATGGCCGGCAGGGATGTAGCTCAGTTGATAGAGCATGGCGTTTGCAACGCCAGGGTTGTGGGTTTGATTCCCACGGGGGGCCAGTATAAAACAATATGTATTCACTAACTGTAAGTCGCTCTGGATAAGAGCGTCTGCTAAATGACTAAAATGTAAATGTAAATGTCCCCTATATTTCATTGTCAGCTATAGATGGGTTAGGAAAACGATGCACACGCTTCAATGGGGCAGAAGTCTGTGTGTTGTTGTGATTCTGGACGGTCAAATAGCTAGCAACATTGGCAAGAAGCTGCCATGTGTGGAATCGTAGGTGGCTCGTTTCAGCTAGTTTTATCTTGTTCTTGATACCATGTCTTGTTTTGAGATGTTTTGACTGATGTCAGGTCTATGCTAATATGGCAAAAAATTAGCCGGCTAGCTAACCAACAACTGTAACAATGTATTTGAGAGACAACAAGTGCTCATTGTGCACATTTATTTTACATTTTTCAATAAACATTGGAGACGAAATATAGTTTATATGTTGTCAACAATCTAAGCCAACCCCCTCTGTTTTTCCCCATAGTTGTGCACGCGACGGTTTTGTATCTGAACAACCAACCTGTCTATAGGCAGAGAGGAAGAGGGTATTTCGATATTATAGAAGTTCATTATGGGTTATTATTTGGTAGAAGTTTGTTTACACATGATAAAGAAAAATCTTTATGAAAATATGATGGTTCACAATTATGAAAATGCAATATTAGGCTACATGATACATATTTCTTATTTGTTTAGAGAAATTACATGGAGTTTTACTGTGCTGGAGATCTCTGAACACACAGTATGAAATTTTACGGCCCCACCTTCTAGGTCGAAAATATAAGATTGTCATCTTCAACCTTGGTTGACCTGTCATGATATATTGCTTGTTTGTTTTTTTGCTCTTGAAGCACTTTGAGATTCTATGAAAAGGGCTGTAGAAATGTAATACATTCATATTATTATTATTATTATTAACCTAGCGCGCCTCCCCATTCTCCCCTCCTCCCCTCAACATACCTAAACAATGAATGACATCACTGTTCTTATAATGTAATAAAAGCTGTATTGTGTTCTGTTTCTATGGCAATTATGCTTCTAAGTTCTAATTTTATTTTCTAAAGACAAGAAACTTTCCAAGAGCTTAATTTCCAATTTTCAAAATTAAGAGGAAAGGTGTTTCTTATGGCTATACAGACAAGGTGGAGTCCACCCACATTTACAGTAAAAGATGGAGAACTGTCAAAGCAAACCCAGACTTTGTCAAAGACAAAATATCAGGACAATACCTGCTATGGACAAGAGATCTGCTGGTTATGGATCGACACACAACCTTCCTGGACTGGCGAACTTGAGGGTGTCAATGTCCTCCTTTTTTAGAGATTTCAGAGATTACCTGTCTGCTGCTGACTCTGTTAAGTCTTGGAAGTCTCAACCATACTACCCCAAGGAACCATGGATGTCCTTTGATAAGATGCAGGCGTACCCAGCAGTGACCTCTTGGCCTTACTTCCCCTGGCAGATCGTGCCCCTTTTACCCCCTGAGAGGCGCAGAGCCTCCAGCATGTGGAGCGATATGGACAAGGCCCGCACATCCTCATCCAGCCCTGCAGCCTGGGCCGACCCCAGAGGAGAGGAGGAGCTTCCTTCACAATCTCTATGAGCCTTACCGCAGACTCCCCGTGTTTGTCTCATTCACAGGGAACAAGGCAGACGCAGGCTGAGGACCAGGTTGTGACCCACCTTCCTGCAGTCCAATGACATCTTGCATTAAAGCCTCCAGAGACATCTTAGCAATTCCCAGAAATTATTTATCTGATGAATTCTCAGAAATAAATATTTGTTTAATTCAACATCATTGTGGTTCAGGACTAAATTCTAAATCAAGCACTACACTTCTATCAAGAATAAAATATGATTTCCTAGCTTTTATAATGTGAATAATGTGGATTGTCAGGTTTTCAATCTAGTCCACTGGTTTTGAACGCAAATTAACACGACCTCTGATGTTTACAAAAAGGATCAATATGAATAGGTCAAACAATCTCAGTAAAACCCTGAAGGGTACAGTTATGGGTCCCATACAAATGTCTTATTTTCTTTCTTCTTCTAAGCCTTTCTTTCCTCCTCTCCTTTGCCTTCTTTAGTTTAACTTCTTTCCACCACTGCTCTGTCCATCTTCCACCCCTTCCTGTTTCTCCCTCCTTTCCTTCACCTTCACTCTTTCTCTCTCCTTCTCTCTGTAATACTCCTCTCTTAGTTCCTCTCTGTCCCTGCGAGTCCACCCATGTGAGGTGATATGGTACACATCCACACAGTTCCCAGAGTATGCATCTCTGTGTGTGGCCCTGTACACAGCCTCTCTGGCCAGTGAGATGGCCTCCTCCACCGTCAGCCCCCATCGTACCCCTCCGTCCAGCACAGAGTAGGCATAGGGCGAGCCAGAGCCCACAGAGAACAGCGCTCCCTGCAGGCGAGTCCCGTCACTGCAGACGTAGTACAGGCTGGGGCCAGAGAGCACCAGCTGTTTACCTCCAGCAGTACAGTGCTGCCCACTCATGGCTGGTGAGAGGCACTGATTCTTTCCCCGTGCCTCTGCTTGAGAGATTGAGTCACTTTCTGCTGTCTTTGCCAGATCATCTGTTTCACTCCCCATCATTGATCTGTTCTCTTGCTGATCCGCCCCTTTGCTGCCATGCTCAAGAGGACATGTCTCCACCTCACCTCCATCCCAACCACACAGAGTGGCTGCCACACAGAGCTCAGTGCCCTTAAACGGGTGTAGCATGTGGGCTAGTAGCTTGGCAGCGCCAGCTGTGGACAGCCTTCTGCCATGGCGGAGCTGGTAAAGCCGGAGCTCCCGAGCCAGTATCCTCTTCCATAGGGCACAGTCGGCGGACGTGCCTGAGGTGGTGCCCACCAAGTGGGAGTGGACAGGCAGGATCTTCTGGGAGGCTGGGCAGGCCACCAGCCCGTTGCAGCTGGACCGTGTGTCTGCTGCAGCTATCACTCCCCCCTGGAACATGAAGGCCAGGGTGGTGGTGCCATGAGACATGGGGAAAGGCAGAGGGACAGAGGGAGAGGAGGAGGGAGGAAAGCCAGGAGGAAAAGAGAGGGAAGGTAGGATTGAATCCTGGTGAAGGGTGGTGATATGGTTTGGTGCAGTGTTGGGGTTGATTTGGCCAAACTGTATCGGGCTTTCACTGAGGTATTCCGCAGCTGGTATATAAAGATGCAGTGGGCTCTCACTTTTGCTCCACGACAATCCACTACTTGATTTATCTCTGGTTCTCTTCCCAAAAAGCATGGAGGTGTCTTCCTGGGCAATGCGATGTAAAGCTGGAAAATTCCATCTAGAGTCGAGAAAAGAGTCCTTGAAACCGCACAGATCCTGTAATGCCATTGAAAAATGTGTCCCTCAATATGTAAAGTAACCTATTTATCCATATTTATTTCCCCTCCAATGTTAATGATTGATTCTTATGTTTTTTCTTTGAGAGTCCAGGTCGGGGTCTGTTTGTCTCTGTGAGTGGGGATGCACTGACCTAAATGTAATAAAAAGCATCCTTTTTATACAGTAAATGATCCCTCAGTTGTATTGTCCAAACAAGTAGCATGACATCAATAGCATTACATTACCTCATAACTGGGACGCATTAAAAGTGTGGAGTAAGCCAAACCAGTCATCAAAAACTGTGCTTTGGAACACGATACCTGTCTCATAAATCATATTGGTATGCTGATTGTACTGGGGTTGATTTAGATTGATGAAATGAGATTATGTGTCTGTAGTTCAGTCTTTCCCCCTATTGGTGAGCCAAAAACTTGCAAACCTGTGTTAAAAAAAGTAGGCTACATGTTCTATAAAGATGTATTAGACAAACAATAGACAGACATATTAATATCTGGAGACAGACACGTTCATCCTCCAAGTGTTCCGGGCCTCTGGTCAAAACATTAAATCAGAGCTGAGACCATTCTGGTCACAGTAGGCTATACATTTGAACATCTTAATTGCTTGGGAGTAACCCTGACTGTATTACAGCTAAGGGCCCGGATACCAAGCAGGTTCTGCTTTATGGTGACCTCTGACCCTAGAGAGGTTACCCAGAGGCTAAGTTCCAATTGGGAATAAACATAATAAAAAAAAAAATCTTACCATTCCACACTTTTTCTTTGGAGGAAAGTGACTCTCTTTTTCTCCTTTCTATCAGGACATTTCAAACAGTGGCAGAACGAAATCAGCTTCCATTAAACCAAAAATCCTTCCAGAAAATGAAGAATGATATAAGGAAGGTTAACAGACTTCATGGAACTAACCTACTCTATTTAATAATTGTACTGTACAGGAAAAAAAAGCCAATGACCCTGAAGTGGTCCTCTGTAGCTCAGCTGGTAGAGCACGGCGCTTGTAACGCCAAGGTAGTGGGTTCGATCCCCGGGACCACCCATACACAAAAAAAAAATGTATGCACGCATGACTGTTAGTCGCTTTGGATAAAAGCGTCTGCTAAATGGCATATTATATTTATTATTATTAAGTGAGGTTGTGCAGAGGGGCAAAAATCAACATCACATAAATTATTATTTATTAAACATCTCATGCATCATGGTACTCATGGTCTATCAGTTGAAGTCAAGTGTATTGAGTGTTGACAGTATGGTTCATGGTAATATGTTATTAGTAGCTTTCAGCAAACACTAATAATGCAATATCTTAGTAATTTGAAAATATCAAGTGTTGACAGCATTTGCCTTCTATTGTTTGATTTGATTACGCTCATAAGCGAACAGAGGGCGAACAGAGGACTGATATTAAATCTGAGGTCGCCATTCCTCTCTCTCCCCAGCACATCTGGTGTTTGGGTTAAAGATAAGATGTGCCCTTGGCATTGTGAACTCAAACAGGCTGTAAGTGAAACAGTCGAAAATGTTTAACAATGTAGGGTATATGAATAATTTAACAGGATACGTTTTTGTCAGTCTGACATAATGATTTCTAATTATTATTTCTCAATTCAATAGAGTTTGAATAACACCAGTGATTTAAGTAAGACGGTAATTTCATATAAAAAATGATCTGTTTCCATTACGTGGAACACGTTTTGGATTTGTGTGTATTGCTTTGTATTGTTAGGTATTACTGCACTTTTGGAGCTAGAAATATAAGCATTTTACTCCACCTGCGATAACGTCTGCAATATATGTGTATGTGACCAATAACATTTGATTTGAAAGAAATGAAATGTTTTTAGTACAAGGGTTGTGAACCAAAAAGAGCTGATAAACTGGCACCAGCTTTTTCAGGCCCTAGCAGAATTGTTAAACAACAGGTTTCATATTTTGACTATTTGATCTCCCAGGGACAGAAAGTACAGAACTCAAGCCATACGTCAATGCAACAGGTCTAGACGATAAGATTACAAGTGAAAGGAGCTCTGGGACTGTTTACTTTAGTAGGTGCCTATTTGCTTAATGGGACCCTGTATTGTCTGATGTGTCTCCAGTATGAGTATATGTATGGTTTTATCTAGGCTTCCTGACAAAATGCAGTAAGCTCGATTAGAAAAGAGAGGGAGGTACATAGGCCTAGTAGTAGCGATTATATACTTTTTAGGACTGATTTAAGATTTAACATAGTGAAAACGAATGACATTTTACATTTAATTTAATTTATCTTCCAGGAGAGGATGGGGTGTCCCCTACCCAGTGTTCTGATGAGTTTAACAATGATTCTGTATCACTACCTTTGAAATGCTTCCTGAGGCCCGCTGCCTTGAGAGAGCAGTGGAATTCTGCAGCTCTATAAAGGTACCCGAAACCGTCTGTTAAGGGAGCTCCCAATTAAGTAAGGCCTGGCCATTTGTTTGTTTTTACCACTACATTTTCTGAAGTATCTATTGTCTGAATTTTGGTTTCACACATGCAAGTTCTCCTGATGAGAAATGTACTGGAAAACAATGTGACCTCGAACAGAGGATGTTTGAAATGTTTAGAAATAATAAGTCTGAGTAAAGGGAAAGAACAGAGATTCACCTAACTGCTCACCTTCCCAGGAGAAGAACCAAAGCGGTGTTCTTCCCCTTGTTCTATTTCCTGTCACCTATAATCTCCGTGTTGACCTTAGTCCTGACATTCTGGTGAGTCCTGATCACACTCACTAGAAAGATCCGAGACATTGGGTAACATTTTTATGTAATATGCAATGCAGATATTTCTGAAGGAGTGTATTGCTGTTGTTTTGTTTTTGTTTCAATACTTTTATTTTTATTTATTTAACCTTTATTTAACCAGGTAAGCCAGTTGAGAACAAGTTCTCATTTACAACTGCGACCTGGCCAAGATAGAGCAAAGCAGTGCGATAAAAACAACAACAACACAGAGTTACACATGGGATAAAACAAAACATACAGTCAATAACACAATATAAATCTATATACAGTGTGTGCAAATGTAGTAAGTTATGGAGGTAAGGCGATAAATAGGCCATAGTGCAAAATAATTACAATTTAGTATTAACACTGGAGTGATAGATGTGCAGAAGAAGATGTGCAAATAGAGATACTGGGGTGCAAATGAGCAAAATAAATAACAATATGGGGATGAGGTAGTTGTGTGGGCTAATTACAGATGGGCTGTGTACAGGTGCAGTGATCAGTAAGCTGCTCTGACAACTGATGCTTAAAGTTAGTGAGGGAGATAAGAGTCTCCAGCTTCAGAGATTTGTGCAGTTCGTTCCAGTCATTAGCAGCAGAGAACTGGAAGGAATGGCGGTCAAAGGAGGTGTTGGCTTTGGGGATGACCAGTGAGATATACCTGCTGGAGCGCATACTACGGGTGGGTGTTGCTATGGTGACCAATGAGCTAAGATAAGGCAGGGATTTGCCTAGCAGTGATTTATAGATGACCCGGAGCCAGTGGGTTTGGCAACGAATATGTAGTGAGGGCCAGCCAACGAGAGCGTACAGGTCACAATGGTGGGTAGTATATGGGGCTTTGGTGACAAAACAGATGGCACTGTGATAGACTACATCCAATTTGCTGAGTAGAGTGTTGGAGGCTATTTTGTAAATGACATCGCCAATGTCAAGGATTGGTAGGATAGTCAGTTTCACGAGGGCATGTTTGGCAGCATGAGTGAAGGAGGCTTTGTTGCGAAATAGGAAGCTGATTCTAGATGTAACTTTGGATTGGAGATGCTTAATGTGAGTCTGGAAGGAGAGTTTACGGTCTAACCAGACACCTAGGTATTTGTAGTTGTCCACATATTCTAAGAACCAGACCCGCCGAGAGTAGTGATTCTAGTCGGGCAGGCGTGTGCAAGCAGCGTTCGATTGAAGAGCATGCATTTAGTTTTACTACCGTTTAAGAGCAGTTGGAGGCTACGGAAGGAGTGTTGTATGACATTGAAGCTCGTTAGGAGGTTTGTTAACAGAGTGTCCAATGAAGGGCCAGATGGGCAAGTTGCAGCGGGGGGGGCATGGGCAAGTTGCAGCGGGGGGGGGCAGAGCTGGTGGCCGGGGTAGGGGTAGCCAGGTGGAAAGCATGGCCAGCCGTAGCAAAGTGCTTATTGAAATTCTCGATTATCGTAGATTTATCGGGGGTGACAGTGTTTCATAGCCTCAGTGCAGTGGGCAGCTGGGAGGAGGTGCTCTTATTCTCAATGGACTTTACAGTGTCCCAAAACTTTTTGGAGTTAGTGCTACAGGATGCAAATTTCTGTTTGAAAAAGCTAGCCTTTGCTTTCCTAACTGATTGTGTATATTAGTTCCTGACTTCCTTGAAAAGTTGCATATCGCGGTGGCTGTTTGATGCTAATGCAGTACGCCACAGGATGTTTTTGTGCTGGTCAAGGGCAGTCAAGTCTGGGGTGAACCAGGGGCTATATCTGTTCTTAGTTCTGGATTTCTTGAATGGGGCATGCTTATTTAAGATGGAGAGGAAAGCACTTTTAAAGAACAACCAGGCATCCTCTACTGACAGAATGAGGTCAATATCCATCCAGGAAAACCCGGGCCAGGTCAAGTAGAAAGGCCTGCTCGCTGAAGTGTTTTCGGGAGCGTTTGACAGTGATGAGGGGTGGTCGTTTGACCGCGGACCCATTACGGACGCAGGCAATGAGGCAGTAATTGCTGAGATCCTGGTTGAAGACAGCGGAGGTGTATTTAGAGGGTAAATTAGTCAGCATGATATCTATGAGGGTGCCCATGTTTACAGATTTAGGGTTGTACCTGGTAGGTTCCTTGATAATTTGTGTGAGATTGAGGGCATCTAGTTTAGATTGTAGGACGGCCGGGGTGTTAAGCATATCCCAGTTTAGGTCACCAAGCAGTACGAACTCTGAGGATAGATAGGGGGCAATCAATTCACATATGGTGTCCAGGGGCTATAGCAAGCGGCAAC